AGATCAAAGATTGAATGAAGAAGAGAGAAGGAAGGTGTGTTTAAGGCGTTTGTTTTTATGCCAAAGAGAGGAGGTTATTTATAGATGGCATGGCCGTTCAAAGTCGAGCAAAGATTCCCTCCTTGACTTCCCTCCTCAACTTCCTACTTGATTGGCTATTGGGTGCACTTTTGGGTTCAATTTTGATGATTCGAATCGTTTATATTTTTAGAATTTGTTAGGTACATCATATCTGTAAAAAATCAAACTAATGAAATATTGAAAGAACTAAAAACCGTTTACTAAAAAAAATTTAACAAACAATTTCATTGTTTAATAAAACTTTTATAATTCACATGGTTTTTTATATTCGATCGACTTAATTTTTTACAAGTATGACATACATAATAAATTTTAAAATGTGAGCGGTTCGAATCATTAAAATTAAATCCAAAAGTTGGCCCAATAACCCGTCAAATAAGAATTTAAGTAAAAAAATGAAGGAGGGAATCCTTGCTCTTCAAAGTCGTCGTAGAATTTCCCATGCCGTATTTTTCTATTAGTATTTTGGGAAGGGAGGAGGTCATTGCGTGCGTCATGACCGACCTCGGCTTGGGGACCCTGTTCCACGGCAACCTTCTTTTTAGAGACTTTGTTATTTAAAAGGGCTTCGTTTTATGGAAAAATTACATTTAGGTCTCGTTTGGAAATATATTTTTTTTAGTAATGTTTTAGTTTTTTGATTAAAATATAATATAAAAAAATTAATATATTTGTGATAATTTTTTAATTTTTTACGAAAAGATGTATAAAAAGTAGAGAGAAAAGAGAATCTTTAATTTTTTGGTATGAATTGTTAACTTTTTGATTTATTTAGTGATTTTTTGACTTTTTCGCTAAAAAAGTCACTTGCCAAACAAGGCCTAATGTAAAAATATTTTTATTTTCATGCTAGTATAAGTTTTATGTATGCATGATACAAATTATTTCTATGTATGGTGTAAGTTCATTATGGATTATGATTTTCTTCATTTTAAAATTATAACGGAAGATTTTCATTGTATTATCTAAGAGTTATTTTAAAAAGATGGTTAAAAATCATCTTTTAATTTTTATCCTATTTTGAATCATATCATCTCACATATTATTTACACGTTTTTTCAAAAAATATCAAGAAAGTCAAAAAATTAATTTTTAATCATTTTTAATTCTTTCTAAATTTAAAATATTAATAATTTTTTATAATTACTTCATAATCCTTAAATAATATAATAGAGATCTTTCATTATAATCATATAATGGAGAGGATTTCAATCCGTTCATCCTCTTTATATTGCATTTACTTTTTAAATGTTTTACATATTCATAATTTTCGTTTGTTATTTTTGTAAAATAAAAGTCAAATAATCTTTCTCCCTCTCATTTCATAGGATTAGATTTCAATACTATATTTTTTTTTATGGGATTGTTAGTCCATTCTTTTGAAGGGTTTCATAATCCTATGATAATTTTTTTAAACAAACATTTGTGAAGCTCTTCACTATTTATCTAATTCCATCTTTTATCTTTCAAAATATTTTTATTTCTCAAAACAAACAGACCTCCAGAGTAATCATGTTTAAGAGAAAAGTGATTTTGGTTAAGAATCAAACTGGACTTGGTTATGAGAGATGTGGTTCTAATTATGATTCAAAGTGGTCATTAAAGATGAAAAACTGTCAGAAATACTGTTAGAGGAAGATCTGATTTGATTTCTTAATTTTTGAAATGTTCGTTAAAAAAAATTTCTAAATGATAAATAGATATTGATTACAATGAGACAAATGGTTTGCATAATAAGTAAAAGTAATGCGAAACACTACAGTGCACACACTTTTCAAAAGAATCAGAGGATGGTGTTCTGTCTCATAGGTATAGTTTCATGTTAGTGAGCCTTTCGAATTTATTTTAATGGTTTAAATCGTTTATAGATGTAAAGTTTGTTGGGTAAATTATTTATAAAAATATTTAAATTAATTAGACATTTATAATTTACAACAAGATCACGTTTATATTTAAGAAAAATAAATAGTTAGCGTGATTTTGATAAATTCTTATAATTATTATTCGGCTTGATTATGGGGTTATATTTATTTGATTAATTTCTTTTTTTACATGAAACATATAATCAACGAATCTTATAATATGACGGTTCGGATCATCAAAATATAATTGAAACAAACCTCACGAAGTGGAATAGCGTCACCCCAAATCTCCTTCAAATGATATGCACCATATGCACCTCATAACTAAAGGGCATGTTTGATTGACAGGATTATAACATGAGATTGAGATTATTAATCCGTGGGCCCAATAATCCTATGTTTGTTTTAAAATTTTGTTTCATGATTATTAATCCAATAGATAATTAATCTAATAAATTTGTAAGATTATTAGTATAGGGTAGATGTGAGATTATATATCATGAGCTGGAAAATAAAATAAAAATACTCTTTTATACTTGATTAAAAATTAAAACACTTATTATTTTTATATAATTTTATATTTTAGAAGACTGAAAATAATTTTCAAAATTTTAAAAATATTTTTTGATATTAATTTTATCAAATCAGTTGATATTTAAAAAAAAAATTAAAAAACAAACTAAACATGACCTTTGTATTTTGTATTTTTATTTTGTTTTTATTTATATTTTTTTTCAAAACCACGTTTATAAAGAAATTTTGATAAAGTAAAGATTGTAATGAAATATTGATGGAGGATAAGATTGGAAAAGAAAATAAATATAGCTGTAATCCTAGATTCATATGTTTTCTTTTCTAATACAAATCAAACAATAGACAATGAGATAATTTATCTTACTAATCCAATTGAATAGTGAATACCACATTAATTTAATGGGATTATTAATACCTTTACTATTAGTCTTGTGAATCAAATATGGCCAAAAAGAAAAATGGCATAATATTCAATGTATTTGGTTTTAATTTTCTGAATTCAATTTTTTAAAAATTAAGTTTTTTATTTTTATTTTTAGTGAATATTTTTAAAATTTTAAGCAATTTTTTTTTTAGATATATCTTACTTAGATGTATCTAAAAAGTAAAATATTTGTGAAAAAATATTTTTAAAAATTAATAAATACACAAAAAAAATGAAAAAATGTACTGAATTTTTATATTTTTGGTATTTAGTGAATTTTTTAAAGTTAGTAGAATTTTTTGAAAATCAAAACCAAACAGAGTGATTAATTTTCTGAGTCATAACTAAAAAAATTTCATAACTAAACACAACATGAGACATAACTAAAAAACTCATGAATCATAACTAAAATAATGTCATAACTAAAAAAAATGATCATAATTAAAGAAAAAAATTGCATAACTACGGATATATATAGTACACCCATTTTAAAGGGGTATATATTAAAATTTCCTAATAATAATCACACTTCACTCTGAAAGCCTTACTCTTTCTTTTTTTTTTTTTTATAACTGTTTTATTTTATTTTTATCATATTAATTATAAATATGATAATAATTACATTAAATTTGACAAATTATAGAAGCCTAACAATACTGCAATGAAAACCCATAATAAATGAAAATAAATTACTCAATAAAAAAATATTATAATAGATTTGAATTATTGAATTGAATATTCATTCTATTTGAATATTTTAGAGAGATTCAGTGGAAAATCTCCTTTGATAGACTTGTATCCTGATAAGTCCATAAGATATTTTTACATTGCAGTAAGGCCTCGTTTGGGAACATGCTAATTTAGTAATTTTTTGGCTATTTGGCTAAAAAGGTAGGTAAAAAAAACTTGTATGTTTGAGATGACTTTTTGGCTAATTACGAAAAGATGTGCAAAAAGTAGAGAGAAAAGAGAATCTTTGACTTTTTTGTATGAGTTGTTGGCTTTTTGACTAATTTAGTAACTTTTTGGCTAATTGACTAAAAAAATAAGTCCCCAAACGGGGCCTAAGTCTTATTTATTTGAACTTATGTTCCACTAGATCATTTTTTCTATATTGGAGGTTTTTGTGGACTATTGTACCCTTATAGATATTTTATCAAAGAAACCCACAATATATACAGTATATACATATTTCCTGTGTTACAACTTTTGACCGTAACATTAAACTCTCCACACCATCGAAAGAGAAGATGGATACTCAGGCTTAAGGAAAAGATGAAAAAAAAACACACACACACTCTCTCTCTCTCTCTCTCTCTCTCTCTCTCTCTCTCTCTCTCTCTCTCTCTTATGATTTTCTCTGAAAGTTTGAGAAATGAGTGTTGGGATTGTGAGGAGTGAAATATTTGGTAAAGTAATAGGTATTTCCTTGGAGAGAGGATGTGAGTTTGGTTTTATTTGGATTGGTGTAATGATGGAATTGTAGAAGCTATTGATGATAGTGATGAGATGAAGATGAAGATGATGATGAGGATGTGGGTGATTTTTTTTTTTTTAGGGATAAAGAATTTCAACCAAACATAGCATTCAAAAAAAAAAAAAAAAAAAACAAAAAAAAAAACAAAAACAAAACAAAAAGAACAAAAAAAGATTTGAAGATTATGCACATATTCACACTTCACTTTGAAAGTTTCATTTTTTTCATAATTTTATTTATCAATTGATAGGAGATTAATTACAAATATGATAATAATTACATTAAATTTGACAAATGATAGTGTACAAGTCTAATGAATCAGCTCGATTAATAAACGAGCTAAAAAATCGAGCTCAAGCTCGAACTGTTCAACGCGATTTGTTTGCAGGCCTAGGATAACCACTCCCTATTTGTGATGCATATTACAGAATTTTCCCTAAAAAAATTACCCATTTATGAGAGCAATGCAAAAAAATTGAATCTCTGCATTACTTATAGCAATTTAATCTTGTTCAACTTCGGACACTGAACAAGATCTTCTAGTATGCTTCAATCAAATGGAAGTTCTGCAAATCATATTATTAATATTCATCAAATCAGACCTCTTTCAATTGAAACCAAAAAAAAAAAAAAGTTATCTTCTTTATTTCAATTATAACAAAAACAAAACATTCCCCATAAACAAACACAACATCTAGAGATTGAAAGGTAAAAATAAAAAGACGAAAACAAAAGGGAATTCCAAAAGAGAACTATGAAACTGTATGTCATATAACACTCCAATCAAACATTCTTGTAGAGATTTTACTTAGACTGAAGCTTCTTTTTGCGCTCCGAGATGTAGTCATAGACCTTGTGCTGGTCAGGAAGATGCTTTGACACGCTCTCCTTTTCCATACACCGATTAACCCAATCAACAAGTGCAGGGCACTCTGCCACAATGCTGAAGTTGCCAAATTGCTCGTATGCAAAGAAAAAGCTATAGGATGGAATCAATGCCACATCCACAATGCCAAAGGTCTCTCCTCCGAAGTAAGGCTTGTCTCCAAGTTCTCCTTCCAACACCTTTAAGCACCCTATGAAGTCATTCTTCGCCGTTTCTTGGGTTTCACCTGTGGAAAACATTAGCTGCCTCGCAGCACTATACACCTGTAGAACATATATTATGTAAATGTTGGTCACAAGGCATGATATTTAATGATTCCCTATCCCAAAATACTCACTGTGGTAGGTTCATACGAGAATTTCGAACCATGAAAATCTCAAAATATTATCCAACGACTGTGAGTGTTTTAGAACAAGTGTACATAGAAATTTGGAAATAGAAGATCATGTAATAATAAATGATCATCTCACTATTAATCATGTTAATCAAACAAGGCCTTAAAGTATATTTGAATGAGTGTGACTCTTTAGCTCCTCTGTCATCTTGGTGAGTTTTTTTTTTTTTTGTATAAAAATAAATTTTTTGTCTGCAAATCATTTTCATGTACAGTCTAAGACAGAGATGGAAGAGTTAGGGCTCACCTTCTTGTCAACATAATCAGCCCAGAACCTGGCTTGAGCTAGCTGGTGAGGATCAGAAGGCAACAATGGAGATTTGTGATTCCAGACTTGATCAATGTACTGAACAATGATGAGTGATTCGCACACCGGTTTGCCGTTGTGGATCAACACTGGGATTTGCTTGTTGATAGGGTTCGTCTTCAAGAGCAGTGGACTCTTGTTGGTGAGGTCCTCTTCCCTGAATTCATAATCTACCCCTTTCTCAGCCAAGGCAATTTTCACCCTCGTTGAGTAAGGGCTAATCCAGGTGCCCAAGAGAATGAGTTGGTCCGCCATTGATGATGATGAAGATCAAAGATTGAATGAAGAAAAGAGAAGGACGGTGGGTTTAAGGTGTTTGTTTTTATGCCAATGAGAAGAGGTTATTTATAGATGGCATGGCCGTTCAAAGTCGTCGTAGAATTTCCGATGCCATATTTTTCTATTAGTATTTTGGGGAGGGAGGGTCATTGCGTGCGTCATGACCGACCTTTGTTATTTAAAAGGGCTTCGTTATGTGGGAAAATTGCATTCAATGTAAAAATATTTTTACTTTCATGCTAGTATAAGTTTTATGTATGCATTATACAAATTATTTCTATGAATGGTGTAAGTTCATTATGGATTATGATTTTCTTCATTTTAAAGTTATAATAGAAGATTTTCGTTGTAATATCTAAGAGCTATCTTGAAAAAATGGCTAAAAGTCATCTTTCAACTTTTATCTTATTTTGGATCACATCATCTCATACATTATTTACACTTTTTTTCAAAAAATATCAAAAAAAATCAAAAAGTCAACTTTTAATTATTTTTCCAAAACAAGACCAAGTGCTTGTAATGATTCTTTCTAAATTTAAAATATTGATAATTTTTTATGATTATTTCATAATTCTTAAATTATATAATGGAGATTTTTCATTACAATCATATAATGGAGAGGATTTCAATCCGTTCATCCCCTGTATATTGTATTTACTTTTTAATTGTTTCACATATTCATAATTTTCATTTGTTATTTTTGTAAAATAAAAGTCAAAATAATCTTCCTCCCTCTAATTTCATAAGCTTAGATTTCAATACTATATTTTTTTATGGGATTGTTAGTCCATTCTTTTGAAGGGTTTAATAATCCTACGATAATTTTTTTAAACAAACATTTGTGAAACTCTTCACTATTCATCTAATTCCATCTTTTATCTTTCAAAACATTTTTGTTTCTCAAAATAAACAGACCTCCAAAGTAATCATGTTTAAGAGAAGAGTGATTTTGGTTAAGAATCAAACTGGACTTGGTTATGAGAGATGTGGTTCTAACTATGATTCAAAATGGTCATTAAAGATGAAAAACTGTCAGAAAAACCGTCAGAGGAAGATATGATTTGATTTCTTGATTTTTGAAATGTTCATTAAAAAAAATTTCTAAATGATAAATAGATGGTGATTACAATGAGACAAAAATGGTTGAAGATTATACGCATATAAAAGTAAAAGTGATGAAGTGATGCGAAATACTACAGTGCACACGCTCTTCAAAAGAATTGGAGGATGGCGTTCTGTCTCATAGGTATAGTATCATGTTGTAAGCATGTGAGGATTTCTTTCGAATAAATTTTAATGATTCAAATCGTTTATAATGTAAGATTTGTTAAGTAGATTATTCATAAAAATAATTGACCTAAAGATCCAAACCCAACATATTATGCCCCATTTAGCCCCAAAACAAATTCAATACTCCATTAAGTCTTTAAATTATCAATCAGACGAAAATACCCACACATATCATCCAATTTACAAGCGCGCAACTTCACCCACGATCATCTCACACCAGTCCGATCAATACACCATCACAGCCACTCGCCTCTATATTCTCAGTCCTCCATCTCTCCACCGTTTGACTCCACTATCTCTAAAACCCTACCGTAACCACAAAACGAACCCGTTCATCTTCTCCAATCGTCGACTCTCAACAACACAACATGAAGCCATTCATCTTCTCTAATCGGCGACTCTCAACAACACGAAGAACCATCACGGCTCTGAAGAAATTTCATAGTTCTTGACTTCCGATTCACAGAAATGGGAAAAAAAAGTAACATCTCTCTTTACCTATTATTTTTCATTCAAATTTGTACATTATTCTTTGATATTTTGTATATATCATACCGTTTCAATAACACTTTCATAAAAAAAAACCCTTATAAAACACATTTTACATACTTCAAAATGTATAAACCCTATTTTATATATAATCCCCTATTTTAAAACATTATAGTCCCCTGTTTGTAAACATTCTACTTCCCTGTTTTTACATATAAATCTCTATTTTTACACATTCAACTCCTTGTTCGTATTTTTGTTGTCGTTGTTGCTTCTTTTTGTTGTTAAATATTGGCTTTTTTTCTTCGTATTGTTATTACATTTCGTTGAATACTTAATCTTCTTGTTATTATTGTTGTTGTTTACAAAATATAATGGGTTGTTCTTATTGTTGATAGTGTTTATAAAACTGAAACATCAGACAGTTTCATTTCTCTACAAGTAACATATCTAAATTTATTCAAACTGCAAATGAAACTGCAAAATTACACAGTTTAATCACTATTCAAAATAAATAGGTAACTTATTATAAAGTACAAACCAAACTGCCAAATTATATAGTTTTGTAACTATTAACAACAAATAGATATAAATTCATATTAAAATGCATATAAAACTACAAAGTTATACAGCTTTGTTACTATATTACTCATGCCCTGCTGTTACGTTTATTTTTTCAGAAATAGTTGTTGGAAGATATTGAAAGAGACAAACCAATATGCCCAAAAATCCAATCAAGGATTTAAGTATCTCCCCTTTTGACAGTCCTTCACCTGTATCCATTGAAATGCCACTATCTCCCTCTCCACAAAAAAACCAACCACCACAACCAAAAAAACCCACAAAACAACCACATTACCTACAAGAAAAAGCCTAAGAACTACACCACAGACCACACCCACACAACAAACACCAACCACACTTCCAACCACAACAAAAACAAACAAAAGAAAGCCAACAAAAAAACAAGAAGCTCCTCTAACTAAAAAAAGAAAGTTCCAAGAAAGCCAATCAACTCCCGAAACAAAAATCAAGGCATCAAAAGGGAAAAAAATGAGCAGTCCCTTCAAAGAGAGTCCAACAGTTTAATGACCGTTCCAACATCAGAACGATAATCAAACTGTTAAAGGGGGTCAAATTCACAATAGCCTAACAAACAAAGGTGCCAAAAACCCTTTTTTGACCTATTATAAATGCTCTCTCTTTAACACAACTGAAGGCCTCTTGGTGCAGATGCTGCAATTCCATTGTAGCAGAAATGACAACACTCTACAACAAAAAAAAGAGAACATTTATACTTGGCAAAAAGGAAATGAAACTCAGAAACAGTGATGTGAGGCTCATTTTTGGTATCGACTATAGAGAAGACAGCATCACCACCAAATCCTATGCAAGACCAAAGGATTTTGAGCTCGCATTTCACAAATGAAGATGCAAATCAGTAAAGAGATTGGATGGCAAGTCATTGACCAAAATGTTTCAACAAACAAAAAAAGAAAAATCAACCAATGATCGTCAAAATCTTGCAAAGGTCATCACCCTTTACGTGTGCCTGAAACTTCTCATGTCCTACAACAGGCCATACACTCAGTTGGAGTTTCCTCAACTATGTTAACAATCTCAACAACATCAAGAACTACAATTGGGTTGAGGCAATAAAAGACACACTGATGAATTCAATAGCAAATGCAAACAACAACCCAAGGTATGTCACTGGATGCGTCATGTTACTTTTGGTAAACACACTACTCAACTATGTCACACAAAAATATCAAACATCCAACTATTTCAAACTATCTAACATATTTCAAAATTTTTTTTTTTTTTACAGTACTAGTACTGTGAGCACAGTAAACCCCTCCGACCATCCAACAAAGAAGGCTTCCCAAGGTTTATGAAGTGAAACCTTGGCAAAATGTACTCCAAGTGGAAACACATCAGCCTTGCTGACTTTGAAAAGGTATTCAAACTCTTCTATACTCTCATAGTCCAAATCTATTCAACACTCCTTTCACAGTCATTATAGTAACAATCATGTTATGAAATTGTAAAAGTTTGCAGTTTCAAACAACATATTTTCAGCACTTAACTCACATTACTCACAGTACAAATCATGTTATGAAACTGTAAAAGTTTGCAGTTTCAAAGCACATACCTATTTAACACTTCTATCACACGTGTTATGAAACTGCAAAAGTTTGTAGTTTCAATGCACAAATCTATTCAACAATCCTTTCACATTCATTACACTAATAATCATGTTATGAAACTATAAAAGCTTGCAGTATCAAACAACATATTTTCAACACTTAACTCACATTACTCATAGTACAAATCATGTTATGAAACTAACCAATTTTATAGTATTACTGATATATGCCACATTATTCCAATGCAGGTTGACCAAAGTGTTTTAACCCCAACTGAACAAGAAATATAGTTATTGCATATTAATCAAAGCACATCAATAAACTTTTTAGTAAAGAAACATGACCACAAAAAGGACAATAGACACAAAAAACAAACCAAAGCCAAAAACAAAAAACAAAAAACTTCTAGACAGTGATGAGGATGACTTTTTCTTAAAGAAAAACACCAGAATCAGAACAAGAACAACAACAAATAAGAAAGTAAGAACCACAAGAAGAAACAGAAAGTGATAAACAAGAAGAAGAGAGTGATGAAGAAAAAAACAAGAGACTGAAGAAGAAGAAGAAGAAGCTGGTGAACAACAAGACAATGAAAAAGAAGAAGAAAGTGATGAACAAGAAGACACTGATGAAAAAGAAGGCCAACAACAAGAACAAGAAGAAGAACAAATAAACCAACAATAAGAAGTCAATGAACAAGAATTGATAGACCAACAACAACAACAACATGAAAAAAAAAAAAAGAACAAGCAAAATAACAAGAAGAAAAAATGACAGAACAACAAGAAGAACTCCAAGAGAAATCTGACACATTTCATGCACAAGGTAAACTCTTGTCTAATACTGAACCAAACTGAAAAATTTAATTAAACTAACCAAAACAAAATCCAACATTTTTATAGGCGATGACCAAACACAAATATCAACCAAAGAGAACGACAAGGACAAACTCATAGTAGCCATAAGAGCACAAATACAAGAAATGGAACAAAAATTCATGGCTAAATTGCATAGAAAGGAAGACCGGTTGAAGGAAATGTCAGCCAAAACAACTAGAAGTCCCCAACAAAGATCAATGGTCAAGAGAATCAAACAAAAGTTAAGAAAACAAGCACATAAGCCAGATTTTGAATACCAACCAATGACAAAAGCCAAAGAAAATATAAGGAACAAGATAGAAGCTGTTGCTGATGTACCCAAACCAACAGAGGGTGCTGATGAAGAAAAAGAGAAGAAGAATGAAAAGAAAAAAGAAGAAATCGGAACAGAGAAAGAACCTACAACTGAACTCGAGCCAAAAGAGGGTGCTCATGAAGCAAAAGAGCAGAGAAAAGAAAAGATGAAAGAAGATATCAGCCAAGAGAAAGAAGGTGTTGTTGAAACCAAGCCAAAAGAGGATGTTAATCAAGGGAAAACACAAGTTCAAGTATTGGAAAGTGATGATGATTTCAAGGAAGAATCAATCCATAACAAGCCACTCACTCTTTCATGCCGTAAAACAAACAAGGTTTGGCATAGCCTATTCAAAAAAAAACCAAGACTAAATTCAACTCATTAACAACACACAATCAACTGCTTGTGTCTGGTCTGACAGCGAAGATGAAAATTGCATATACTTTTCAGATATATGCAGATTGACCAACAAGGAAGCCTTATATGGGAAAGTAGGTCTCCAACTGCACAATTTTACAGTTTTTGTTCATATTCAATAACTAATTCCACAAACCTAACACATTCTCATATATAACATGTTTCAGGTTATTGATGCCTTCGCAGAAATGAAATTGACACTCCAACCATCAATTGAAGAATTTGAGAAACATGATCTAGCATTTGCAAGAAATCCATACGCAGGAAAATATTACGTTTTCTCAACACTTATCAATGTAAGCAAAACTATTAACATACCTTTCAGTATTATTCAAACTACAAATTTTTCTACTTTCTTAACATGTCTTACTACATACTTTTATAACATATTTCAAACATATATAAATTACAGACTCCACTACAAAACCAAGATCAGGCACTAAGAGAAAAAATGATGGACAACCATTTTCCAAAAGCAATGAAAAACTAATATATCCATTTCTCAATCAACCATGACAACCATTGGATAATTGTGGTCTTTGACAATACTGATAGGATATGGAGTCACTATGACTCTTTGAGGCCAGCAAAAGATTGCCACAACAAGTACTTTGAAATTGCAAAGGAAATTGTAAGTTAAATAAAATTTCCTACTTAGTTCTATTCCTTTCAAAACATCTTAGCACATCACTATAACTAACAAAAACTCCAATAACTACTTTGTAGCAGCAACATCAACTGAGATGGAATAAATGATTATTCAGCAATCAAGAAAACATGGAATCATCTCAAGAGTGCGAGACAGTAATTGCATCAATTGAGAAATGCCCACAACAAACCCCACACTCGTAAGATACAAACTCAATGACTAATGTTTCAATATGCTAAATTTTACAGTTTTACCAAATTAATTAACTTCATCTAAAACTTTGCAGGAATGATTGTGTAATTGTTGTCTGCAATGTTTCAACCAACATATCAACTAGAAACCTGTGCAGAAATCACTTCGACCAACTGAGTAGGTCAAATTTCGAGCATAAATCATCAGTCAATTCTTCAATGATAAGAACCGATCTTGGAAACTCGAGCACTACCAAATATTGACAAAACATATCAAACCATAGAAATAATGAACAAACTTTTTTACAATACAAATACTCATGTGAACATATTTTTGTACTTTTTTTTTAACATGTGACGAGTGCTTTTTATGCTTTTAGTAATTGATCTTCTTGTGGTTATCATGGTGAAAATGATTATTGTCATTAATGTCGTTGTTGCTCTTTTTGTTCTTTTTGTGCTTATTATTCTTGTTTGTGTTCTTGTGCTTATTATTGTCGTCACATTTGTAGTTGCATATAAATTCATACAGGAAATGTTATTTCTAATAATTCTTCAAACTGCAAAATTATTCAGTTTTATTAGGTTATTTCTAATAATTCTTAAAACTGTAAAATTATGCAATTTCATCTGGTTGTTTCTAATAATTCTTAAAACTGTAAAATTATGCAGTTTCATCTGGTTGTTTTTCATAATTCTTAAAACTGTAAAATTATGTAGTTTCATCACTCAAACAAAAATTATGCTACACAATTATGCAGTTTCATTATCATGAGTGCCTTCCACGCATTATAATATGTATTTTCTACATAATTTTTGAAACTGCAAAATTATCCAATTTCATCACTCAAACAAATAGATGAACTGCATTTCAAAATTGAAAATAAAACTGTAAAATTATATAGTTTTGTTACTACGAAATATTAAATAAATATATCATGTAGTAAAACTGCAAGATTATACAGTTTTAATAAAAAATTTCAACAACCTTCTCAATATTCCACAAAAATAAAACCAACCAAATCCACACAAAAAAAAATAATAATAATAAAATAAAATAAATAAAGCTGTTACAAAATAACCTCAATAACTAAAGAACACATCAAAAAAAAAAAATAAAATGCAACCAACTTTATTCATTACTTTCATAATACTAAGTATCACATTTTATTATCGCAATTCCTCAATTTCAAATATAAATCCAAAAGAATAGACTATGCCCTCAAATAACAGCCTTGCACGTCTTCTTATTGTGATTTCCATATTTCAAGCATCTCACACACTTGATTTGCTATACATTCTCACACCTAGATGGTATCCTCTTCTTCTTGTTCCGCCCGGGCTACTTCTTCATTATAGGAGGTTTGATAATCAAACTATCGGCACCATCAAAATCAAATCTCTCACTTGAAGGCACTGGATAAACAGATTCCTTATACGACTCTCTAAAAACATGAAAAAAATGATCAATGAAATCATACACATCTTTACCACTACTACGCAAAGCATGCACAACATGACAACAAGGAAAACCATTCAATTGCCATTCATGGCAAGAACAAGTCCGTCTACCAATATCAACATAAAAAGAAATTGAAGAATGAACCTCAAGCACAATATCACTAGCAACAATCACATCCTAAGACTTAGCTAGCTTCAAAGAGTCCACCAACTTCTTTTCCATAACTAGACACAATTTGGTAGTCCATCTTTTAGATTCAACTCTTCTATTAGACAATTGAGTCATGATTTGAACCCTAATCATATCAACCATACAAGTAATAGGCAACTCATGGGCCCCACTAATCCAATTATTGTAAGATTCGACAGTATTAGATGACATCTCACCATATCGTTTCCCTTTAAAAAAATGCATTTGCCCACTTATCATTCTGCAAACCATCCAACATACTATCAACTCTACCATTCCCAGCAATACGCCTCAATTTCTCCATATAATGTTGGAAAAAAGCAATAGTTGGCGCATAAGCACATTTAACTAATATTTTCATCAAAGTCAGGTTATAGTTAGTACAAAGTCCCACCAATTTGTCAATCAAATTTCTCTTCAAATGGTTTAAGCAATATACATGATGTGCATTGGGAAAAACCACTGAAAGAGCGTCTAGCAATCCATGTTGACGGTCCGACACAAAGGTCAATCTTCGACCTGAACCAACAGCTTTTAACAACTGACTTAAAAATCACATCCAATTATCTTGATTTTCAGCGTCAACAATCGCAAAAGCCAAAGGAAACAAGCTTGAAAACAAAATAACATGAAATTGCAAAAATTGGCAGACTCATAATATAATAACAGAAACCAAAATCCATCAACTACCAAAACACACTAACAAACCAAAACTATACTAATTGCAAATAAATACATACCTTGATTACCATCCTTTGATGTTACTGCAATCAAATGCCCGTTGTAACGCCCCTTCAAGAATGTACAATCAACAAACAACAACGAACGACAAAATTGAAAACCGTACAAACATCCATGAAATGCCACAAACAACCTTCGAAAACACCCACTACTTTCATACACATCTAATTCAAACACACTTCCAAGATTCGTTCTCAAACCTGTCTCAAGGTACTATCGAAGTTGGTTAAAAAAAGTTACAAAATCACCAAACACCCACCTCTTGCTTTATCAACTCCTAACCATGCAACCTGATAAGAAATATTTATACTATATTGCTTCTTCAACTTTTTTTTAACTTCAATAGAACGAGTTAACAGATTATCACTAATATCATTATGCACAATATCAGGTACGTCTAGAACCAACCATTTTGCTACAAGATCTACGAGCAACAACCCCACAATTATGCACATTATCCAACTTCATAATAATAAAAAAAATACCATAATTCATCAACACCCTTCCATGCACAAACCATTGCGACTTCATCATACATTTAGTAGTTACTCTTATTACATCGTTCTTCAAATAATTCACTGCAAAACCACACTCAACTGCATACTTAGCCAATGCAATGCGGAACGCCGGCACTCCACCTTCAAATTCTTGACCAACACTGTGTATAATCCCCTTCCAACTATCAGACAACAAAGCTCTCTCTAGTTCTGGATAAAAACTAGGTAACAAACTACCAAAATTATCACAATCGTTAATCAAAGAACTCTCACAAATTACAGAATCAATCCTAGAAGAATTATCATCAATCTCCACAATTCTCCTATCACCCACAACAACATTAACAACATGAGAACCACTACAACCTACCATTGACATCATATTTCCCAAATCATCATCACATTCAACAATACAATTAGAATATCCAGGAATAGAGAAAAACAAACAAAAGTAACCAACACTCAACTCCTTGAATTTCATAGATATTTTCTCAATAACTTCATGATAACTACATCCCTCACTAATCTTAATAGCAGCACAAGATTTACTGTATTTGCACATTAACATGAAACACCCCTCCATACTACAAATCACAAACCAACAAACAATTGTTCACAGATTCCAAACTGTAAAATTATACAGTTACAACATATCAGTATCAAAACTTCAGAATTCAGAATTCCAAACTACAACTTCAAAACACATTACACTATACAACAAACAAAATCAACAAAATCAAAATCATTACACTATATCACATACAAAAATCACAAAATAAGTATCAAACAAACAAAGTTTATCACAAAACAAAGAACTATAACAACATTACCAATCACAAACCAGAGATCACGCAAATTTGCTTATCTACATATATACATACATATATATATCGACAGATAGAGATAGAGTGAGACACACACACAAACACACACACAGAGAGCGTATGCAGAGATCGCCTATACACAGAGATTCAGATCGTACAACCAGATCCACCTCACAACACAACAAGATTGACGTTACAGTACAAAGAGATCGACATCACGGAGAGAGATTGAGATCGCAGACAACCTCACATAGGCGAATATTTGATTTTTCACGTGTGTATATATATATATATATCAAATCAAAGGGTAATACAGTCATTTAAAAAATAAGAAAATAAAAAAGGGACCTCGGGGTACAAAATGTAAAAAACTGCAGACCTATTAGTCTATTAAAAATATAATGGGATTAGAAGGGAAATACATCCTCTACATAGGACTACATAGTAATTTTCCCTTAAATTAATTAGACATCTGTAATTTGTAACAAGATCACATTTATGTTTAAGAAAAATAAATAGTCAACATGATTTTGATAAATTCTTATAATTATTATTCGACTTGATCATGAGATTATATTTGTCCGATTAATTTCTTTTTTTACATGAAACATATACTCAACAAATCTTATAATATGAACGGTTCGGATCATCAAAATATAATTGGAACAAACCTCACAAAGTGGGATAGCATCACCCCAAATCCCCTTTAAATGATGTGCACCATATGCACCTTATAACTAAAGGGCATTTTTGATTGACAAGATTAAAACATGGAATTGAGATTATTAATTCGTGGGCCCAATAATCCTGTATTTGTTTTGAAATTTTGTTTCATAATTATTAATCCAATAGATGATTAATCCAATAAATTTGTAAGATTATTAGTAATGGGTAGGGGTGGGATTATATATCCTGAGCTGGAAAATAAAATAAAAAGACACTTTTACCCTTGACTAAAAATTAAAACACTTATTATTTTTATATAATTTTATATTTTAGAGGGCTAAAAGTAATTTTCAAAAATTTGAAAAACAATTGATATTAATTTTATCAAATCAGTTTATATTTAAAAAAAAATTAAAAAACAAACCAAACATGACCTTTGTATTTTGTATTTTTTATTTTTATTTTGCTTTTATTTCTTTATTTATATATTTTTTTAAAACCACGTTTATGAAGAAATTTTGATAAAGTAAAGATTGTGAAGAAATATTGATGAAGGGTAAGATTGGAAAAGAAAATAAATATAGTTGTAATCCTAGATTCATATGTTTTCTTATCTAATCCAAATCAAACAATAGACAATGGGATAATTTATCCTACTAATTCAATTGGATAGTGAATACCACACTAATTTGATAGGATTATTAATATCTTCACTATTAGTCTTGTGAATCAAACATGGCCAGAAAGAAAAATGACATAATATTCAATGTATTTGGTTTTAATTTTCTGAATTCAATTTTCTAAAAATTGGATTTTTTGTTTTTTATTTTTAGTGAATATTTTTAAAATTTTAAGCAAATTTTTTTTGGGCAAACTTCAGTTTACCCCCTATGATTTAGGCCATGTGCAGATTACCCCCCTGACTTTCGAATATCACCACATAACCCCCCTGTGGTTGATGGACTAATGTGCACCATTAGCTTTTCTGTGTATTCTAACCAGTTGTGCAATGCACGTGAGCGCGATGCAAGTGGGCATGAATTGATGATGCTCCCTCACAATGAAAAGACCAAAATGCCCTTATCTTCATCATCAATTTTCAAAGAATACCCTCATATTATTTTCTTCATCTTCATCATCAGATCTGGATTTCAAAATCAAAAAATAAAAAAGTAAATTGGTGATCACTTTATTTCAACAAATATTAATTTGGGGTTTTGGGTTTCCAAAAATGATTGAATTAATATTTAATAAAGATTGAAAATGTGACAACACCACACTCACCCAATGGTGATCACTTTTGTATCCGATTAAGTTGTGGAGTCATCAATTATGGGCTGTAGAAAGGCCCATTTTGTCTTTTACTGAAGGAAAAAGAGATACAGTTTGCGTGGAAGACGAAAGATATGGGAAAGCGATCCAAAACCGAAAGAGCAATTCAAAACCTCAAAACCCAAAACCCAAAACCCAAAACCCCAAAACTCCAAATGAGCAATTCAATTTTATTTCAAAACCTAAACTACAATAATAATTTATGAACACCAAAAAATAAAAAGAGCTTTTACTGGGTTTCATCACTTCCTCATCCTCTTCATCTTCTTTATTAGGTTTCATCTTCAATTGAAGAAAATGAGAAGTCGAAGATTATATATATACATAATATGAAATCAAAGAAGATTATATATATAACCACAAATTATATACACTGGATTCCACTGGAAAGTTTGCTAACTTGCTCCATTTCTTTTTTCTTTTTTTCTGGATCTTCATTGAAACCAAAGAAGATTATATATATGCATATACACATTTGAGAGGAGGACTTTTGTTTGATGATTTTGCTATCTTTTTATATATATACATATATACATATGAGATGATTTTCCTTCTTTTCTCCATTTCTTCCTTCTTTTTTTGGATCTTGCTCTCTTTTTTTTTTGTTTCTCTCTCTAGATTGATGATTTTGTTTGATGATCAAGCAGAATGATTTTTACTTCACTGTAAGGGTTATATATACAAGGGTAAATTAGTCATTTCACGTTTGTCATTAATGGTGTTAACGATGCACTTTACTTCATCAACCATAGGGGGGTTATGTAGTGATAGTCGAAAGTTATGGGGGGGTAATCCGCACATGGCCTAAACCATAAGGGGATAAAGTGAAGTTTGTCCCCTTTTTTTAAAAACTTTTTTAGATGTGTCTAAAAAGTAAAATATTTGTGAAAAATATTTTAAAAAATTAATAAATACACAAAAATATGAAAAAATGTACTAAATTTTTGTATTTTTGGTATTTAGTGAATTTTTTAAAGCTTTTTTTTACAAATATTATACTTTTTAAATATATTTATGTTAGGTGTGTCTAAAAATTTAAAATAAAAAATTCTTAAAATATTAAAAAAAATTTAGTGAAAACAAAAAAAAAATACGAAAAACAAAAAACAAAAAAGTAGAATTTTTTGAAAAATGAATTTTGAAAATCAAAACCAAACAGAGTTATTAATTTTTTGAGTCATAACTAAAAAAAATATCATAACTACACATAACATGAGGCATAACTAAAGAACTCATAAATCATAACTAAAAAAAAAAAATTGATCATAATTAAAGAAAAAAATTGCATAACTACAGATGCATATAGTACACCCATATTAAAGGGGTATATATTAAAATTTCCCAATAATAATCACACTTCACTTTGAAAGCCTTACTCTTTTCTTTTCTTTTCCTTTTTTTTTATAATTGTTTTATTTTATTTTTATCATATTAATTATAAATATGATAATAATTACATTAAATTTGACAAGTTATAGAAACCCAACAATACTGCAATGAAAACCCATAATAAATGAAAATAAATTACTCAATAAAAAAAATATTATAATAGATTTGAATTATTGAATTGAATATTCATTCTATTTGAATATTTTAGAGAGATTTAGTGGAAAATCCCCTTTCATGGATTTGTATCCTAATAAGTCCATAAGATATTTTTACATTGCAGTAAGTCCTATTTATTTGAACTTATGTTCCACTAGATCATTTTTCCTATGTTGGAGGTTTTTGTGGACTGTTGTACCCTTATAGATGTTTTATCAAAGAAACCCACAATATATACGATATATACATATTCCCTGTGCTACAACTTTCGACCGTAACATTAAACTCTCCACACCATCGAAAGAGAAGATGGATACCCAGGTTTAAGGAAAAGATGAAAACACACACACACACATGCGCGCGCACACACACACACACACACACACTCTCTCTCTCTCTCTCTCTCTCTCTCTCTCTTGAATGGTTTGCTCTGAAAGTTTAAGAAATGAGTGTTGGGATTGTGAGGAGTGAGGTCTTTGGTAAAGTAATAGGAATTTCCTTGGAGAAAGAGGATGTGAGTTTGGTTTTATTTGGATTGGTGTAATGGTGGAATTGTAGAGGCTATTGATGATAGTGATGAAAATGAAGATGATGAGGAGGAGGAAAAGGATCTGGGAGATTTTTTTTTTTCTGGAGGGATTGAGATTTTTTTTGGGGTTTTAATTCTATTTCACATACATACACACACTCACTTACTCACTCACTCACTCTTTCTCTATCTATCTTTCTCTCTCGCTCTCATGTAGTTCTCTATTTTGTAATAGAGAACACTCTCTTTTGCTTTAATGAAATAGACAAATGTGAATATTCACACACATTTATATTTGGCTATAAGAATAATGTGAACATTTACAGTTTTGAAATACACATGAACGTATATTAATAACGGTGTGAACATTCACAGATGGTAAAAGAAGGCAAAAGTGACATGTCTGCAAAATATAAGCATATGCACTAACATATTGTATACCAAATATGTGGTTTATAATGTGGATTAATATAAATTGATTATGATGATAATGTTCAGATAAATTTGAATGTTCATATACTTGTGAATGGTCGTACACATGTAGATATGATATGAATTTTAATGTTAAGGTTCGCATCAGGCTTATGGGGACATATTTTAAGAGTAACAGCACGTGGCTAAGGCAATGCTGAAGTATCAGCCGAGGTGCCACGTGGCCTAGTCACGTCGCCGAGATGATCTCGGTTAGGCCGAGGCTATCTGCAGAGATACCAAAATCTGAGATAAGAAGATAAAGGACAAGAGTCCCAAAACAGGGAGGATCTCAGTCTGGATAGAGATAAGGCTCAAGAAGAGTTTATCTCCATTTAGATGAGGGTCCAAGATAAGCATGGAGCCTGAGTACATTGAAGTAAGGCTTCTAAGGGGATCAGGTCACTGCTGGTTATAAAAGCAAGACACCCTCGTGGGTTAGAGGTAAGTTTTTTTCTTGTGAGTTTAAGCACACTTTGTTAGCTTTGAAAGTTATCGATTATTGACTTGATCGTCGGAGTGCCCCCGGATGGACGAACCACAGCCGGATTCTTATCTTTCTGCGACAAGTTGTTTGGGCTTAATCTATTCTGCTGGTGCTCTTCAGCTGAGTTCCCCATTTGGTTATGTGGTCAAAAATCAACACCCATAATTTGGCGCCGTCTGTGGGACGTTGAAACACAAAGGCCAAGCTTGGGTTGTGTTCGAGGACGTTTCTTCAGCAACCAGTGCGCTTCGGCAAATGCAGGGCTTCCCATTCTATGACAAACCTATGGTATGTTTGTTCTTGTGTTTGGTTGGGAGATTTAGAAAGAGATTTGGAAAGGGAAAATGAGAACCTAGTTGAAATATAACTAAGATATTTTTCACCTTATTTCACCCACCTTTTTCCTTTTCCATCTCCTTTTCAAATTCTTACTCAAATCCCCCAACCAAACACAACATTAACCTTTGCTACTTTGTGCTGCTGATGATGATGATCAGTTGAGTTCAGAGCTCGTCTTTTCAGTAGTATTTGCCAATACACTACAAAATTATTGACTTTAGCATGTTTTTTAATTCAAGAAAATTGGATTTGCTACATGGTAGGTTAGTGAAAAAAATCTCTATCATGTGTCAATTAAAACGTATAGGAAGGTATCTGTGGATATAATTGTATGGAAGATTGTAGTTTGTGCTGAAAAATGTATGTCTGTAAGTTAGATGAGTGTGTGACTAATAATGTGTTGTTAACGCAGAGGATACAATATGCAAAGACTAAATCAGATGTAATAGCAAAGGCTGATGGTACTTTTGTTCCGAGAGAAAGAAGAAAGAGGCATGAGGAGAAAGGTAAGACATTCTTGTTGCATAGTCACATGCATCGAATTACACTTCTTTCTTGCTGTAATGATCTCAAATCTGAAGCAAATCAATAGATTATCCTAATCATATTACAACTTTATATAGGATTAAATATTGGAAGTTCATAAATTTGTATCACGATGCTGATGATTTGCAAACATATGGTAATAACATAATTACAGTAAGGCAATATTGTTATTTGTATCATGTACTTCATTGGTAGTAGCATGAAAAGAAATTTGCTGTCCAATATTTGTTACCAAAAACATTTTGACAAGAAATGGAGATGTGATTCTATGTTGTGCAAATTAAGAGTATTTACCAATAGAAAAATGTTATTTATCTCCACATAACTTCACCTCCTATTTGTAAATTCATGCAATAAATGTTTGTGTTTATGTGGGCCCATCATAAATAAATAATGGTGGAACCCATCATGCCACATGAGAAGCTACATAAGAACTGAAATATTTAGGTGATATATTGTAGCCCTCTTACCAATACATATAGACTTTATCAAAAAGACAAATGTTAATATATACAATTGCTCTCAAAGGAAACTGAGGGAGTGTTGAAATCCAGTTGAACATGACATAGCTATCAGAGAAGGTATTAGTGTAATTCTTGATATAGAATTGAACTCATATCCTTGTTTAGTTGTGTTGCTTGACTTAAATAATTTCAATGATAGAATCAATGTTTTGTTTTAGAAACTTTTAGATACGATACATTAGAAAGCCAAACATTTTACGAATGCTGAAGCATGGTTGGAGTGTTTCATTGTGAAAAAGAAATACATTTGAGTTTGTGGTTACTCCTCTTATATTGCCACTTTGGCACTGTCTTATCTTCGCCTAACAGTGTCCACATTCTCCCAGAAAATAAGATGCATCATGGCCTCTATGAGCAATAAATTTGGAGGTGTAGACAGGCACCACGAATATTAGCACAAAATTTATGGTAATTAATACCCCCTCCCCTTACAATGCTATATTGGGAAGACCGTGGATGCACGCAATGAGGGTTGTTCCCTCAACGATGTACCAGTTATTACGATTTCCAACTGAACAAGGGATTGAGGAAGTCAGAGAGGATCAGGTGTAGGCAAAAAATTACTCAATGGTAGTAATGAAATCCACCTGCAACATGCGAGAGGCAGAAATAGTAGAAATTGAAAACGAGGACATAGAGGTCCTGGATAACATTAGCAAAGAGCAGGCTGACAATAGTGATGAAGCCTTAAAGAAGATTCTGGTAAAAGAAGACGATGCAGAGCACTTATTTCTTCTCTGCTCAAGCTTAACCGAGGAGGAGAAGATGGAGTTAGAGGCATTCTAGCGAGCAAACATAGAAGTGTTTGCTTGGACGCCATACGAAATGCCTGACATTGACCCCGAGGTCATTTGCCATAGGCTCAATGTAGACAGGTCGGCTAAACCTGTCATTCAGCGGTCATTCAGGCCGACATTGATTCATGTGGAGGCAGTAAAGGAGGAAGTGGATAAGCTATTAGATGCCAAGGCTATTCGGGAGGTAAACTACCCAACCTGGCTATCCAACACAGTAGTTGTGAAAAAGAAAAATGGGAAGTGAAGGGTTTACGTGGACTTCACCAGCCTGAATAAGGCTTGTCCTAAAGACAGCTTCTTTTTACCTAAAATTGATCAGCTGGTGGATACTACTTTAGGGTATAGGAGGATGAGCTTCTTGGATTCTTACAGGGGATACCCCCAGATAGCAATGTATCTCCCTGGCGACGAGAAGACTGTATTTATCACCCCAAAAGGGTTGTACTGCTACAGAGTGATGCCTTTTGAGTTGAAAAATGCATGAGCAACCTACCAAAGGTTGGTAACCAAGATATTCAGACATCTAATTGGCAAAACAATAGAAGTGTACATTGATGACATGGTCGTGAAGACCAAAGAACCTAGGAATCATCTGGCCAACTTGAAGGCAATTTTTGATATCCTGAGAATATATCAGCTCTGACTTAATGCTTCGAAATGCGCATTTGGAGTCGGGTCTGGTAAGTTCCTAGATACTTGGTTACTAGAAGGGGCATTGAGGCAAGCCCAGATCAAATCAAGGTCATTCTTGACTTAAAGAGCTCGACGTCGACCAAGCAGGTCCAGATTTTGACTGGCAAGGCAGCAGCCCTAAACAGGTTTATCAGTCGAAGTTCTGATAAGTGTAAACCATTTTTTAATTTGTTAAAGAAGGCCACCGATTTCTTGTGGACAGAGAAGTGCGAAGTCGCCTTGGCCGACTTGAAAAAATACCTGACAACTGCTCCAGTTCTATCAAACCCAATACCTAGAGAAGAACTGTTTTTATACTTGGCAGTTTCAGAGTACGTAGTGAGTGTAGTGGTAAGTAGAGAAGAGGAGGGAGGACAAAGCGTAGTATACTACGTGAGTAAAACCCTAGCAAGTGCAGAGACCAGGTACTTACCCCTATAAAAATTGACATTGACTTTGGTGATGGCTTCCAAAAAACTAAACCACTACTTCCAAGCCCATAAGATTGTGGTGCTGACTGAGCATCCTCTGAAATCCCTATTACAGCATGGAGATTTGACAGGCAGAGTAGCCAAATGGGCAATAGTGCTGGGCCAATATGACTTGGAATTTAGGCCCAGAATAGCAATTAAGGGCCAGGTTCTGGCTGACTTTGTGGTCGAGTTCACCCCTGGTGCCATTCCATGTCGAACTTCGATGAATTGCTGCTTGGGATGCCCAGGAGAGCAGGAAAAAGTCCAACTGGGTCCCAAGAATCCCTCTCCAGCAAAACAAAACAAAGAAGAGAAACCAAAGCCTTGCAACATCTATATCAACGACTTCTTCTGCCTGTTTGTTGATGGAAGTTCAAACTGTTAAGGAGCGAGGGCAAGAGTAGTATTAGTATCGCCAAATGGACGAATGTTAGAGTAGTCTATTTATTTGGGGTTCAAGGCCTTAAACAATGAAGCAGAGTATGAAGCACTGATTGTAGGGTTGAAATTAGCAGCAGCAATGGAAGTCAATGAGGTGGTAGTCTTCTATGACTTCCAACTTATTGTGAATCAGGCAACAGGCAAGTATGTAGCCCGAGATGAAAGAATGATAGCCTATGTCAAAGAATTTGTCAGACTGTTAGCATTGTTCCAGGATTGCCGGCTACAACAGGTTAGCCGAGATGATAACCTAGCTAGTGCAATGAAATCAGAAGAGACAAGAACAATAATGGTTGATTATTTGTCAGGTCCAAGTGTAAAACCACTGATCATAGAGTATGAAACAATGTGTGTGGAGATGGGTCCAATTTGAATAGATACAATAGTGATGTTCCTCAGGGATGGCAACCTGCCAGATGACCGAAATGAGGAGCACAAAACATAATTGAGGTTGGCTAGGTTCAACCTGAAAGCAGAAGGCCATCTCTACAGAAGGTCCTTTACTGGGCCCCTTTTGAGATGCGTGCATCCCTACTGTGCGAAATTCATGAAGGTGTATGTAAAAGCCATGCTGGGGCGGATCACTTGCCCATAGAGCCATATCTCAAGGGTATTGGTGGCCTTACATGCACAAGGATACTGAAGCCTATGTTAGGATGTATGAAAAGTGTCAAAGGTTTGCACCCTTGATACATCAGCCAGCAGCAGACTTGAACCTAGTATCTAGTCCCTGGCCATTTGCCCAATAGGGCATGAATCTTGTTGGACAACTACTCCAGGCAACTGGACAGAGAAAGTTCCTACTAGTGGCGACTGACTACTTTACAAAGTGGGTAGAGGCTGAGCCCCTTGCCAAAATTCAAGATATCAATGTGAAGAACTTTATCTGGAAGAACATCATCGCCGGGTTTGGGATTCCAAGAGCCATTGTAGCTGACAATGGCACCTAGTTTGACAGTAAGCTAATCAAGAGCTTCTGTGCAAAGTACAAGATAAAAAACTATTACTCTACTCCTAGTTTCCCCAAAAGTAATGGACAGGCAAAAACATCCAACAAGACCATCTTGGATAGGATTAAAAAGAGGCTAGAAACAGCAAAGGGAAAATGGGTGGAAGAGTTGCCCCATGTGCTCTGGGCATATCGGACTACGTCGAGGAGATCAATTGGGGAGTCTCCTTTTGCCATGGCTTTTGACACTGAAGCAGTTATTCCGCTGGAGGTCGGCATCCTTGGAATCAGAACCTAGGGAGTAGAGAATGGGACTAATGAGGCATTCCTCACCAAAGATCTGGATCTGCTGGAGGAAAGAAGAGAGAGAGAGCAGTAATTCAGCTGGGTTACCAGCATAAACTTGTTAAGGCTTATAACAAGAAGGTCAACCTAAGAAAGTTCAAAGTTGGAGACCTCGTCCTAAGGAAATTTGTCAGCAACAAAAAGGATCCTAGGGAGGGCAAGCTTGGCCCAAATTGGGAAGGACCTTACAGAGTCATCTCAATTGCCGATAACGGAGCATGTCGGCTGGAAGACAGTGATGGCAAGGAGTTGCCAAGAACCTGGAACACTTGCAATTTGAAGTTTTTTTATCATTATTTTTAATTTTTTGAGATTTATATTATGATTAGCCGAAGTTCTAATAAATTGATAGTTCAATTTTGTTTTTATAAGTAAATTTTCGAAATTTGTGTGATAGGACTAAACCATCTTGTGACGATGTTTCTGATTGAATCATGACGAATAACTTAGACTTATCATATAGTAGAGTTGAATTATACTTGCCATACGATAGAGTCAAACTAAGTTGGCGATATTTTCAATTGAAACATGACGAATAACTTAGACTTATCATATAGTAGAGTTGAATTATACTTGCCATACGATAGAGTCAAACTAAGTTGGCGATATTTTCAATTGAAACATGACGAATAACTTAGACTTATCATATAGTAGAGTTGAATTATACTTGCCATACGATAGAGTCAAACTAAGTTGGCGATATTTTCAATTGAAACATGACGAATAACTTAGACTTATCATATAGTAGAGTTGAATTAT